TACGAGTCCGTATACGGCAGGCTGCCGTTGGCGAACCTCATCGACGCGCCGGAGGCCTCAGGAAGGAGCCGGCTCATCAGCTTCCACCGCGTCTCGTTCATGGCGACTATGTCACGGATGGACAAGTCAGACTTGCCGTCGGCAAACTCAGACCAAAAGGACCCGCCGGCGCCGGGCACGGAGAAGGAAGAGTCGCTGGAGTATCGTAGGACGCAGGCGTCGTACATGGCCCCAGCGTCCCATGTGTAGGGGCACTGTTCGCTCGGAAAAGATTGCGCCGCCGCCAAACAGCTCTCGCACATGGTCCAGTTATAGTTGGCGTAGCACATGACATGACCGAATACCTTGTCCGGCGGGTCGCCGTAGCTGCCGTTTGTTGGCCGCTGTAAGCCGCGGCGACAAGCGAGCGCAGCGTGCGGGCGCGCGCTGGCCGCGTCGGGTGCGTCATTCCCGTAGCTAGCATGTGCGTGTGTTGGTCGTGGCCGTGGTGAGTGGAGTCTCCGAGCCGGCCGAGTCTCTGTGCGGCAGTTCCTGCATGTGTGGTGCGTGGGAGCTGCGTCTCCGCAGGCTACAAAGCCGGCCATTTCCAGGTTGTTAGCAGCGTGCATGTAGCTAGGGATTAGCTAGGTAGTTAGTGCATGGGTTAGTGGCCGATCTGGCGTGCGTGCCTCTGGGTATTAAAGTGGCCACGGTGCTGGTGTGTAGGTGCGCCAGAGAAGAGAGATGTAGCCTCTCAGTGTATGTGTGCTCGCCGTGAGGGTGTGTGTGTTGAGTTCGAGCTCAAGAAAAGCGTTCGTGCGCTGGCAAACCCTCCCCGTGTCCTTCTTCTTCCTGTTGTCTTCGTCCTCCTCGTGTTGTTCGAGCGCAGCAGCGAGGGAGAGCGTGTGTGGGCTAGCGAGGGAGAAGGCCACGGTAACAACACTGTTGAGGAAGCCGCCGTTGCCGCCGGCGCCGGCGAAGAGGTATTCGACGAGCGAGCCGACATTTGTCAGAAGCTGCTCTGTGCTGCCAGGCCTGGTGGTGTTATCTACGATTACGCAGTCACTGATAATGGGTGGCTGCAGTTGCTGGTCAGCTATTGCACCGGCGAGCGAAACGATGGCCGTGAGGAACAAGGTTTGGAGGATGCGCTGAATTGCCGCCATGGGAATGGAACCGTCTTTCATGCGTTGGCAGAGGAGAAGAATTTATATACGAAGGCGCAGCGAGCCGCTCCAGCTAACAACAACAACGGCAATGTACAAAGAAAACAAAACTCCAATACACCTTGAACACCTTTGGTTCAACATTGGCGTGAACAAGAACAGCAATGAGTAGACGAAATCAACAATGACAAGGAGAGACAAGGCGGAGGAGTCTCCAATTCCCGTCTAGCAGCTGGCGAGAGATTTAAAAACGTAAGATAATGACATAAGAGCAGTAATTGGGTCAGCTCCAAGATTTGTAGGACAAATCAGCGGACAAAACAATGGTGAATGATGAAGGTTCAACAAGTCACTGGAAATAAATCGACACATAAGGTTCCAGATATTTGTGCATACTTGGTTCATTAGTGGGCCGGGGTGTTGGAGTCCTACGTGGCTGGTGTTCGGACTCCCGCAAAGTCCCCAAGACTATCTTTCAATTTGCAGGAAAAAACATGTCTGGACCAGTCGGCAGACTGATACAGGCCGCGTTGGATGGCAAAACACATCCTCCAAACGTATGCGGGGAGTTTGAGAGTCAATGTTGGAGATGCCCTTACCATGGTGTGACACTCAGCAAAGAGTTTGCGGAGTATTTTTTTTTTCATTCGCTCTTCGCTGAGTACTCGGCATTGAAGTTCTTTTTTTAGTGTTCAGTCGCTTCAGTGCAGGACGAGGCGGGTACGATGCTCTATCAGCCATGCCTCTAATCTAATCAATGGACCTGTTTCGGTCTTGTGGGTTCATCACGGGTCTATCTATCGTTTACTGCAAGAAAATCATCTGTCTTGCGTCAAAAAAAAAGAGAGAGAATCATCTGCCTCGCCTTTATGATCGACGAGGTGGGCTAGCCCAATACAGTGTGTTAGCGAGCGGTTTTGGCAAACTGGTTTGTGCAAACCTTCCCTCGTTTTGGCTGGTTTTAGAAATTCATGCGGTTTTTTTTGCTTTTCATGTTTCTGTGTTTTTCTTTACAGTTTTCATCGGTTTTTCTTTAGATTTTTTGGTTTTCTTTCTTTTCAATTTCAACTTTTTATTTTTTTAATACATTGCAATTTTAAATATTTTTTGTATATTTTTTGAACACGCTAAACATTTTATGAAGACTATTTTTTCCAATACACGATGCACATTTTCCTAAATGCATGCTAGAAAAATCCAAATATACCTTGAAATATCTTTTACTACAAGTTGAACATTTTCTGAACAATGAGAAATATTTTTCACATACAATAAAACTTAATAATTTTTCGAGTACATGTTGACCATTTTTTAATCCATGTTAAACATTAGTTAAGTGTTTGAACATTTTTTCCAATGGTACAAAACATTTTTCTAAATTACACGTACATTTTTTCATTGTATAAACATTTTTTTAAAATTTCACAAATATATTTGTTGAAACGTATGAATATTTTGAATGTCACGAAGATTTTTTAAAAATTGTATGGATAATGTTTTTACACTGCATGAACACTTTTAGAAAATAATTTATTTTTTTAATATGTATTTAGGATTTTTTTTAAATATAATCAAAATTTTAAATAGTAAACAAAAACAAACAAAGAAACACGAAAACGAAGCTAACAAGTGTTATAGCTACTGGGTCGTCCCAGTAAAGTGATCTTTGAGGCCATGTGGACGGCCGTCTCACACGCCGCTTAGCGAGAATTCACAGGTAAGCGTTTAGAGGTTTTAAGATGTTTGCCTAAAAAAACAGCTTTAAGATGTACCCCTAACAGTTTTGTACCATTGAAAAAACTCTCAAAAGAAGATGTACCCCTAAAAAAGCAGTTTTAACATGCTAACAAAACATTCCTTCCTGGTTTTTTCTTTCTTTATCTATTTCCTCTTTCTACCCTAGTTTTTCTGGTTTTCTTTTTGGTTTTTCAGTTTGTTTTTCTTATTTATTTTCTTTTTCATCCAGTTTTTATTTGTAATTTTCCTTCGGCCTTCCTTACATTTTCCTTTTTACTCTGTTAATTCTTTATTTATGAATATTTCCAATTCATGGACATTTTCAAAATTCATGAGCAAATTCGTGTCATTTTCAAATTTTTACGCATTTTCCAAATCCACCAAAAAAATGAAATCCATAAACATTCATGAACATTTTCTGAATTCGTGGAGATTTTTACATGCATGAGACCTTTTAAATTTCCCAACATTTTTTACATTCATGAAACTTTTTTGAATTGATGAACATTTTTACTAATTCATGACATATTTTAAATTTTCCAAAAAAATTAAATTCATGAATCATTTTCAAATTCATGAACATTTTTTAATCAACAAACATTTTTTGGGTTTATGAACTTTTGTGAATTTTTGAAAAATATTAGAATAAAACTGCCTGAAATACAAAAAGAAATGAAAAACTTGCTCGTAGCTGGGACACACACACCACACTCTTATGATCGTACCTATCTTCTTTAGTTGGTAAGCGAGCGGCAGTGTTGGTGTTCCTTTTTCGGTTCTGTGGTGGTTCCATCAGTACTATTAAAGAGGAGTCCGCGGTTGTTCGTTTCATTACTCCGCATCCCGTCACATTGATTTTATTTTTTTCATGTCAAGCCTAATTCCCATTGATTTTTCTCTCCTCCCACTTTTTTCTTCTGTTAGTTGGGCGCCTCTTTCTTACCTCTCCCCCACACGAGCGAGCAAACCCTCCCACTATGGCGTATACCTAGATGGCCGCTGCCTCCTTCTCACCTCTGTGCCCACTCTCCACCCGCTCCGCCTCGCCTGCATCCTCCACCTTATTTTTTCCTTCGATTTGCTTCATCTCCATGAATTGGAACAAGTTCCACGACGCCGATGCCTTCATCTCTCTCCGATAGCCCCGAGGTGCGTCTCCACGAACGATCTCTGTCTGCCTATACTCTAAGGAGTAATTTAATTATTCACTCCACTCCGGTGCCTGCTGCTAAGGAAGAAAAAAAAACTTTCCTACATGTTGTTTTCTCCGGATCACCAAAGAACATGGCGTAGCTCAATAGATGGACGCGGTGTGACTAGGAAGAAAATAACAATGAACTGCTCAATAAAATGGCAAGTGAAATGAAGAACAAAGAACATACATTCTTCGTGCGTGCAGGTGCGCTGTCCAAAATGAGTGTTACAAAACTAACCAACCTGTGCTGTTTTGTTCATGTGAATCTCTTGTTGTCGCGTTTGCCTGCGTGTCTGCGTGCGTGTGCCTACCAAGTACCAACCTGGGCTGGGGATGGAGACGATGGTGCCGTTGCTACGCTTGCAGCTTGTGGAAGCCGCCGAGAGTTGTCGGAGCGAAAGCGATTCGACCCATGAAGTGGGCTCTCCCCCAAATTAAGATGGCACAAGGTGGATGGTCTGACTGTCTGTGCCAAACCCGCGTAATCACTCGCAGGCACCAGGTTTAGCAAACAAAAACAGAATCATTCTTGTGCGCTGTGAAATGATTTCCTGCTCGGTGGAAACTAAAGGTTCATACTGGGTTGGCTGTATCATCTTTTTAAATCGACGAAACTAAAGGTTCATACTGAAATCACAGCGAGCCGGAGTGGCCTATTTTGAACTGCAGGTGAAATGAAGAACAAATAATGAACATTCCTCTTGCGTGCAACTGCACTATCCAACCAAAATGAGTAAATACAAAACCAACCAACAAACCAATTCGAAGCCTCCTATGTTCATCAGACAATGACCCTTTCCAGTATTACAATGTTTCTCGCCGCCGTGTTTGCCTGTGTATGTTTATGTGATTGTGACCGTGAGTGGTATACCTTCCATTACCAACCTGCGATGACAACGGAGACGCCGGCGCCGGCGCCGCGGCTACTCCTGCAGCTTGTCGATGGCCTGGAGCAGGAAGGGCCGGAACCTGGTGAGGTTCACCTTCACGTCCTGCTTCATGATGGTCTCGGCGAGCGCCTGCCACCCCTGCTTGTGCAGCGCCTTGGGGTCGCTGAACACCAGGTGCTCCCGAGGGTACTTGTCCTTGAGGCTCGTCTCCTCCTCGTCCACGTAGTACTCCACGTACCGGAGCTGCATCTCCCGCGCCGGCTGCCCGTAGAAGTTGGTCGCCATCCAGTCCATGTTCCCCCACGGCACGATCTGCACCACCACCGCCTGCGTCGGCAGGAAGATCTGGTTCGTCAGCCCGGCCCCGTGCACCGCCAGCAGCACGTCCGCGGAGTTCACCAGCGCCGCGAACGCCGGCACGTCCGCCCCCGCCTCCGCCACCGTCACGTTGAACCCCAGCTCCGTCGCGGCGGCGGCCACCTCCTCCAGGTTCAGCAGCTTCCGCGTGCCCCCGCGGGAGATGATCAGCATCTGCGGCCGCATCCCGGGCGCCTCCCCGAGCGCCGAGGGGCGGTCGCGGCGGAGCGCGTAGGCGGAGCGGATGAAGCGGTTGTAGTCCACCATGGTGTAGTTGCGCGGGTTGCGGGTCGGGTGCGGCGAGATGATGAGGTCCCGGTCGCGGTACAGGCCCAGGAACCCCGCCGCGAAGCAGTGCACGCCGGCGTCCGCGTCGAAGTTGATGGGGTCGTAGTTGGAGAGCTTGCGCAGCACCGGCGTGTACTTCTGCACCCACCACGGCTTGTAGTTGGTGATGAGCAGCTGCACCTCGCCCTTGAGGTGCGACGCCGTCAGGAACAGCGGGATCAGCGCGTCCGTGTTGTCGTGGAAGAAGTTGTCCGTGTACCCGGCCACGGAGAACACCACCGCGGGGACGCGGTGCCGCTTCGTGCACTGCGGCGCGGCCGCCGCCGAGGGGACGGACTTGACGGTCACCTCCACCACGGCGGGGAGGAGGAAGTCGTCCTTGCGGGCGTACGGCCGGAGCCGCTTCTCGCCGTTCTCGTCGAAGCCGCCGGCGCCCGACGGGTTCACCAGGTACATGGTCTTCTGCTTGGGGCTGATCCGGATGTCGCCGGACAGCTCGCACACCGACGGACGCGCGTAGGGGAACCCCTCGTCCACCCCGTTCTCGTCGCAGCTCATCTTTGCTAATGCCGCACCCTCCCCGCCGGCGCCGCCCTCCGCGGCTGAATCCATTCATTCCCCAAGAAACAGAGTCGCGTTAGAATTGAATTTAGAGCGCGCGGGCAGATCTCGGACATTTCCAACTAATCTGAAGCAAATTAACTGCGTCGACATGAGGTGGGCGACAAATGTTTGCCCAGATCGCAGAGTACAGAGCATTAATGTGTGCAAGAAGTGGCCTGCTGACCTGACCTGGGAGTGATGCCAGTTTTGCTCTGCTTTCCAGTTAAGGTGCGACGAAAAAGGAGGTGAGAAAGGGGCGAGAGATTCCTTACATGGCTTTGGCACGGAGGTCGTCGCCGCCTCCGCCGCCTTCTCGGCTTCGTCCTCCTTTCTCGAGAGCACCTCCGGCACGCCGGGTTCTTGAGAGCCGGCCGACGCCGGGCCCTCCTCTGGGAAATCGACGGGATCCACGGCGTTGCCGTTCTCGCGGCCGATGAATGTGGTGTCTTCGGCCGGGATGGCATCCGTCGTCTCCGGGACGGACGACGACGACGACGCCGGCGGGGCGTTCTGGAGCAGGCCGGACGTGTTGGCTGTGCTAGCTGAGCGCGGATTCAATTCAACAGCAGTAACGATTAGATCAGGGAGGGATTAATGGAATGCAGTGAGTGAGTAGTGAGTGGAGCACGTACCGAAGACGGGGGAGTAGATGGCGAAGAGCTTGGCGAGGGAGACGTAGGTGAGGAGCGCGAGGCAGCAGCCGGCGAGGAGGCCAGCGCCGAGCTTCTTGGGCTCGATCTTGGAGGCGAAGCCCCGGAGGCGCGTGGGCGGCCTCCTGTCGCCGGCGCCGCCCGGCAGCTTGGACGGCCGCGAGTACGCCGTCGAGTTCATCTCGGCCTGCCTAGCTCCTCCTCCGCGGGACGCGTCGCGTCGGGGATCTACCGGCGCATAAACAGCGGGGCACACGCGCGAGCGCAGAGGAAGAAAGAAAGGAGACAGCGAGGGAGGAGAGGGGTGGCCTGGACTCCGTGAGAGAGAAGATGAGGAGGGATCAGTGGAGGAAAAGGCGGAAGCTTTTGGTGGCGCGGTCGTTGGTGGCGTCGGATTTGAGCTGGGTGGGGTGGGGTGGGTGTGGCTGAGTTCGGCGTTCGCTGCGTGAAAGAGAAAGGGGATCTGCTCGGGGCGTTGCGAGAGAGGCACGCTTGCGGCAGGGAGACGAAGGTGACTTGGGAGGGAGAGGGACGTGCGCACGCGTGCGCGCTACTCAAGAGTGAGCGTGTTTTTTTTAGAGATTTCTTAGGCCAAACAGTGAGTGCATGTGCTCATTACTTTCTTCACTCGTACTACTACTGTCGTACTCCCTCCGTTCGGAATTACTTGTCTCGGAAATGGATGTATCTAAAACTAAAATACATTTAGATACATCCATTTCTACGACAAGTAATTCCGAACGAAGGGAGTACTACAGTCATACTAATCAGCTCATAAAAAGCTGAGTAGTTTAAAACTAAAACCATGATAAGTATTTTGAAACAAAAGAAGTAATATAGTATATGTTATTATACATGTGTATTATTCAAAAATAATAAGTGCATTTATTTATTTATTTATCCTATATAGGACAAATTTTATCTACCACATGTGGTAGTTTTGCATGTTGTATGTAGTATCTATCAAATAAAAGAGTATGTAAGCATATTATGTAATACTCCAGTCGTTTCTATTTACTCTGCATATTAGAGTTGACTGAAGTCAAACTTCATAAAATTTTGACCAGGTTTATAGAAAACAATATAAACGTTTATCATAACAAATTTATATGATGTGAAAATTCATCCAATAATAAATCCAACAGTATTGATTTGTTGTTGTATATGTTCATATTTTTGTTTATAGACTTTGTCAAAGTTTACAAAGCTTGAGTTTGACCAAAACTAATACGCGGACTAAATAAAAATGGTAGTATATATACTACTTTTTAGATAGTAAGTATCATATTTTAAGTATGTTTTTTTACATACAAATATATACGCATCTCACAAATAAAAAAAACATGAGCCAACTTGCAATTTTTTCGTGTAACTCACTTTGAAGTATCTTATATATAGTTTATCAACATACCTACAATGATAAAGTAGTACTCCTTCCATCTTAAAATAAATGACTCAAGTTTATACTAACTTTAGACTATAGTACAAAGTTAGTGCAAATTTGAGTCACTTATTATGGGAAGGAGGGAGTATATATATAATATCACATGATAGTATATGAGACATATGGGGTAACTACTCCTGGATGGTATGATATATAAGGGTGAAATATTACTCAGCATTGCAGTTAATTTCAACATTTAACGTATCACATAAATTATATATATACCCATATTTATTTGACGATTATCGTGTTTGCATTTTAAATTATGGAGTTTACCTACAAACGAAAAAAATTCTAGAGTTTCCATAACGTGTCGACCACATTGTGAATGCGTGATAGTGTGCGAGGACAAAACAAAAGCGATGTCATGCGTTCACATGTGGGCGACTTCTCAATGGTCAATGAGCCATTGGATCTCTTGCTCGGTGGGCTGTGCATCTACCATGTTCTTCCGTTGGCAATGTTTACCTTGGAAGCAAGGATAGCATCAGGATTCATTAAGTACTACTTACATTGGTCCTTCAAATTCATGGGACGGTGAGGTAAGGGTTTCTCGTTATGTGGCTAGATTTAGTGTTGGGTGCTTTAGATCTATGTAAGGGTTCAACGATAACAATTATGGCGTTAGGGTGAAAGTGCAACTAATCATCAGGTGGTTTTGGTAATTCATAACAACATATGGCTCATTGAACTAATAGCCATTCAAGTTAAATGTTTCAAAAAGTTCAATGATTGGCATTGCATGGACTAGAGATGTGAACCCCTCAAAATGCTAAGGACAAAGATTGGCAAAGGCTCAAGACTCTTCATTTTCATTTTAGTAATCCAAGATCACATTGAGTCCAGAGGAAAGCCAATACTATTAAAAGAGGATGAAGTGTTGCTTAATGCCTTGCTTGCTCAAAATGCTTAGTGATATTGCTCCAAAACCCTTAACCACTTTCTCATTTCCACGTATGTCCAAAACCTAAAGTCACCCCCCCCCCCGATTTGATCTATCCGGTGCCACCGAGTTCACTTGACATAGCCATAGCCAGAAACCCTAATCAATTCGGTCACACCGATACGGCTCTCAATCCCACCGAGATGGCTTTGCAAACTCTCTATTTTCCTTCGTAACATTTCGGTCTCACCGAAATGAGCGATTGGGCCCACCGAGTTCGCATTGCAAACTCTCTGTTTCCTTTTCGTAACATTTCGGTCTCACCGAAATGAACGACCGGTCCCATCGAGTTTGCTTGATCAACTCTCTATTTGATCAATTGCTGAAATAGGTCTCACCGAGTTCATGTGATCGGTCTCTACGAGATGAGGTTTTGCCCTAGCCCTAGCACATCGGTCCCACTGAGTTGTTATCATCGGTCCCATCGAGATTCCTAACGTTCATATTTTGAACTGAATCGGTCTCACCGAGTTTCTCTATTCGGTCTGATCGAGTTGGGTAAAAAGTGTGTAACTGTTAGATTTTGCGTGGAGGCTATATATACCCTTCCACCCCCTTCTCCATTTGAGAGAGAGTCATCAGAACATGCCTACACTTTCACTACTCATTTTCTGAGAGAGAACCACCTACTCATGTGTTGAGACCAAGACATTCCAATCCTACCACAAGAATCTTGATCTCTAACCTTCCCCAAGTTGCTTTTCACTCAAATCATCTTTCCATCATATCCAAATCTGTGAGAGAGAGTTGAGTATTGAGGAGACTATCATTTGAAGCACAAGAGCAAGGAGTTCATCATCAACACACCATCTATTACCTTTTGGAGATTGGTGTCTCCTAGATTGGTTAGGTATCTCTTGGGAGCCCCCATCAAGATTGTGGAGTTGAACCAAGGAGTTTGTAAGGGCAAGGAGATCGCCTACTTCGTAAAGATCTACCCAAGTGAGGCAAGTCCCTCGTGGGTGATGGCCATGGTGGGATAGACAATGTTGCTTCTTCGTGGACCCTTCGTGGACTCGCGCAACTGTTACCCTTCGTGGGTTGAAGTCTCCATCAACGTGGATGTACGATAGCACCACCTATCAGAACCACGCCAAAAATCTCTGTGTCTATATTGCGTTTGCCCTCTCCAAACCCTTCCCTTTACCTTCATATGCAATGTTTTACTTTTCGCTGCCACATTCTTAGAATTGCATGTGTAGGTTGATTCGTTGACTTGTGCTAAGTTGCTAAAATCTGCCAAGACTTAAAATTGGGAAAAGGCTAGATTTTTAATTGGTCAAGTTGTCTAATCACCCCCTCTAGACATACTTTCAATCCTACAAGTGGTATTAGAGCTTTGGTGTGACACCCCAAAAATTTTACCTTGTTTTGTTAATTAAAATTTTGCCAGGAAATTAAAATTTTTATTTTCTGGGCTCCCTTTTGATTTTTGGACCTTTTTTTCTCTCTTGTTATTATGGAGTTTTCCCCCAAAAGAAAACTTTTCAAATTTGTTATTGGACTTGTTTAACCTCTCAAGAAAAATGTTTCTTTTATTAGTAGAACTAATTACATAATTAATTTGCTTGATCTTTATTTTCTTGAAAAATGGTTTTCCAAGATTATATGGCCATATTTGAACTACAACCATTTGATAAATTCACTTAAAATTTCAACAAAAATTTGGAGATGCCAGGTGATGTTTTAAAATCACTTTTATGCAAAAATATCTTTTATTCATGAAATATTTGAGCTCTACACCCAATTTTCTTCTCTGGTCCAGTGGGCAATTTTGCACTGCAACTCATTTAAATATTTCTTTCTAGCTTCCACCAAAATTATGGGATGTTAGTAGCAGCATATCATTCAATTTTATGCAAAAACCCAGTGATGTCCTTTGAAAAATTTGAGTGAATCAACCTATTTTCCATACTGGTCCAACTTGAGGATTTGTACAACAACTACTTCTTAAGTTGCTCCTTTAACCATGAGCTTTCTCCTACTTGTAGTCCTCCATGCTAAACCCCTAAGTCCAGGAGCATGCACCCATTGGATCATTTTTGGTTCATGAAATGATGACATTCACCTCCTGTCCAGAATTGAAGTTCTGCAAAACTTGCACTGGCAAGTTTGTGCTTTTCACAAACTAACCTCACCACCCTCTCTTCCATCTAAAGAGACCCCACTTTGGAAGATTTGGCCACTCCAAGAAATGCCTAGGTGCCTGTGGCATTTCGTCAAACACCTTGAAAGCATGAACTGATTTGGCATGAGTTTTGTTTGCATTATGAACTTAGTCTCCTGACCAAACCACCTTGTCCCTTGATCTTCCCTCTATCACTAATCTAGTTCTGTTGCTTGCCAACCTCACCCGACACCCCTAGCATGCCCCGGCATTTCATCGAGCACGTTCCGTGCGTGCTCTGGGCGCGAGCAAAGCACGCGTATTGCACGTGCCGCGCTCGAGCCGACACGTCGCGCCCCTGGTTCTTGCCCGCTCTGTAGCGCCACGCCACGCGCTCTCCTTCTCACCGCAACGCGCCAAGCCGCCCTGGCAGCCTACAGCACCGCCGTCAGAGCTCTTGGCGGCACGCTGGCGTCTGTAGCGCGTCTCGGCCAGGTCGGTGCCGCCCAAGCCACCAGCGCTTGCCACCTGCCTCCTGGAGCAGTGCGAGCTCATCCGCAAGCGTGTCCCCCAGCGCTCGTCGCCGCCACGTCGCCCAAGCTACAGAAAGACGGTCGCCGGCGACCTTATCCGCGGCCGCCGCTGAACTGCCTCGACTCGCCTATTTAAGGAAGCCCCGAGCCCGTC